CCCCCCTTGTAAAGTAGGGTCTGGGAGCTAGAACGGGTTTGGCTCAGTGGTTCCCAGGGCAACGCGCAAGCGCAGTTCCAATCCCAGACTGCAGACTCCAGCTCCTTGTGTTCCTCCTGGGGTGTGTAGGTTGCGATCTTTCCCTGCAAGCAGAGACTCCTCAAAAGCAATCCCCGTGGTGACCGGACAGGAAGAGAGGGGAGCTGATGCGGGGTGATCGGGCCAGAGGAAAAGGGAGGAAGGAACGAGGGGTATGTCCGACTCGTGGCCATTTCAGAAGATAAAATTTCATAACCTACACTCCTCCGAATATTGCCTTTCATTCCAAAGAGAAGAGAGCTGCCAGATGCAGACGTGGTGAGGTTAGAGCCCTAACCGGGTGCACGTAGAGGTGGATGGGGGACAGGACCACTAGCGTGTGTCTTAGAACACGCTTCGGACTCCTGGAAGCCTGTTTACACGCTGATGGAGACTGCCTATGTGGCTTCAAGACCAGGAACAGCCAATGCAGAAGTTTCCCAGAGGCCTAGTAAGGCAGCAGTAGTTTATGTGAATAAGATTCCTGGTCTCTTCCCATCCACACAACAACCTACACCACTTCTGACTCGCCAGTGCCTCTAGATCACCCAAACTAGATGAGTTTAGAAAAGGCAATGGCCTGAGACTAGAGAAGGGGTTGACCTGATAGCCTTTGACAATGACTTAGAAGATCTGGTCATAGTCTTTTTGAGGCTTTTTCACACTTTCTCTCCTGCTCTACCCATCCTCTCCTCCTTCCCACTCCTAAGATATGTCTTTCAGATCAAAGGCAAGAGGATAGGTTGAAAAGCCTGAGTTCTGGCGCTGGAGCAAGTTGTCTATAAAAAATCGATATACAAGATGGCAAAGGGGGAATATAGGATTTTACTCAGATGTTGGAAGAAAGAAATGTGAATGCATACATCCTCCCTCTGGACTGCTATGACCCACTTTTTCCTCATCACAGGTGCATAGGAGTTTCTAACCTGAGGAGTCTGGCAACAACAAAGCTCCAGACCTGTCTTGTCACAGCTTTGCCCTTCCCTGAAAGGATTCTTTAGAGGAGAAGGAATGGCTGTCAGACACCTCTCAGTTATGGTGCAGGTGAGTGAGTTCTTTCTCCTCCAATTGCTTTCTAGATTTGAAGGTGGACAGGTTTCTTTTCCCTGACCATGAGGGGGTTTTCTCCAGTTCAGTCTCACTCAGAAACCTGACTCCAATGCTCCCAACATCCCCAACATTTATTAAGCTTATCCTTGAGATGTTGGAGCTGAGTAACTTTATAAAGATCAAAGTATGGTGGGAACTGAAACCTAGCTCGTTCTGCTAGGAAAACCTGCCCTCTTCCCGCATTTTATTTTATGATTAAGATTATGTATAAATACTTCAGTAAGACTAAGGGCTTTAAAGTGGTAAAAATTGAGGGTTGAAACAAGGAAGACATATAAAACTTTTCTTGGGGAAATGGGATTTACTGGCATTTTTAAACAGTGGTATTTGCTTGTTAAACTTTTGTTAGATACCAATGAAATTATTCAAGTAAGTATTTCCAAGATCAGGACATTTCTAAGAAGCATTTAGCAGTGCTTGCGTCTTTCGAAGAAGGATGGACTCTACTTTGAAGGAGGGAGCCTTCATTTGGATATATAAATTCTGTGCACAGATTTTTTTCCCATTTAAACCATCCAGAACAAGAATCTGTGGCAGAAAGCATTGGAAGGAATGAGCAGTCAGCCGAAGGTGCTGTTCATCCAAGTCCCAATCCAGCTGCTGCTCATATTTCTCTTGATTTCGGATTCATCCTTTGAGGCCTATTTCTAAGCACCACTTTTTGGTGGAACTAGTCTCCAGATTTTGTCTGTGTCACACAGTTTATCTCATAAATACAAGCTGCCTCATTTTATTTGCTTTTTAAGAACATATATTGGGATATTCAAATGTGTCAGGTATTATGGTCTATGCCAGAGATACAAAGCTGAACAATTAATTAGTCTTTGACAAGTTGATTTTTAAATCTATTCCAACAAGGATTTCTTGATTGCCTACTATATCTAAGACATTAGGTACACTAAGAGAAACATAGTTCAAATTAAAGTAACTATTTATTTGGGAAAATACTAAGATGTCTTCCAAAACCCAAAGGCAAAGAAATTTGGCTATATAAATGGAGTCTAGAATAATGTAGAAAGCCATGAAGTCCTAGATCTTGAACCTTTAATTTTCTTTTCTGTACTTCTACTTAATTCTTTTTTGTTGTTGTTGTTGTGTTGTTTAGTGTGTTTTTTTCTTAATTCTTTTTTTCTCAGTATGTCCTAGCTTTCTTCTCATTCCACAAGGAAGACCGTAGCTGCTGAGGTTTTTTTGTTGCTTTTTTAGAATTTTACTTTAACTTTTTATTGTGATTTGAGTGAAAGTTTGCAGAGCAAATGGACTTCCCATTTAGCCATTCGGGTACATTTTGGGTTTTTGATAATAATTACCATCCCCACATAGCACTCTTACCATTTCCTCCATATGATTCTCATTTCCATTAGTCCTTCTATCCTAACGTTTCCTACCTTCTGAATTGTACACATGGGCCTGTGCTTTCCTCTTGATCCTGTGTTGTTTCCGGGAGTGTGTGCCTACCTGATGTTCTTGTTCACCTTATAGGCCTGTCTGTTGTTTGACTGAAAGTTGAGTTGTTGCAAGGACAGTTTTGGGGATTCCACACATCTCTATCAGAACAGCAAGCAAGCCTGACAATTTTTACGATTTTTAGTTTTGGACCACATTTTTTCACTCACTATGTCCAGGACCCTTCAGCGTGGTCAGCAGTCCTAGTCAGGCACCCTCTTGTTCTTCTGGTCTCAGGGTCATAAAGGTTGAAGTTTCACTAGTCCTTTGGACTGAGTTTCTTCTAGGCATCTTTGATTTTATTCCCTCTTCTTTATTCTGGACAAGGAGAGATCAATACAGCACATTGAATGACTATTTGAAAACCTTTGAAACCCAAGTCACTATTTATTAAAATAGAATCTAGAACATATCTTTGTGACCTGTATTATGTTAGTTGGTCTTTGTGTCCCCTGAGATTCTTGGCCCAAGGCCCTAGGACCAGCAACTCATTAGCTTGGGTATTTGGTTATAATTAAGAAGTTTAAATAACTTTGTCTTCTTTTTACTCAACTATGTATATGTACACATTTCTAGAATATGTAAATATATATATATAGAAATATGGTCTGCCAAGCCTGTGTATGCTCCTTTCTCCTGACCATATCTGTTTGTCTTGCCTATCTGCCTATGAATCCACTTACAGATTGATGTTTATTATTACTGATAATGCAGGATTGTGCATGTAATGGTATAGCCATTTTTGTCTGAATCTCCTCCATCATTTCCCTTTCTTTAGTGGTGTTCTGCTGGTCACCGCTTTATTGTTCACTGCCTTTCCCTTCACCCAATTTAATATATGCCTATTGTCTAGTTATTAATTAATACTTACTGGGTTTTACATGTTACCCTGAAAGGGACTATTTTCTCTGTGTCTTAGTTTCAGAATTTCCAGGTAAAATCTTGGTTGTGATCAAAGAGGAGATAAGGTCACATTGGACAGAATGATTTCTTTCCCTGAGAACTGGAGATACAGATAGATAGATAGATAGATAGATAGATAGATAGATAGATAGATAGATAGATAGATATAGATAGATATAGATATAGATATAGATAGATATTTAGGGTAGGCAGATGAGAAGTTGAAAAAATAAAAAAACAACCTAACAGAAAACAGAAATTGCTGAGCAACAAATAATAGTACATGGAACATGTTCTAGATGTTACAAAGACAAGTTAAATGTAGAAATAAATTATAACTATATTGGAGTTACTAGTCCAATCAGGGAGACCAAAAGTACACCAAAAACCAGAGTGAAATAGGACTGTGCCTTGATGGGCATTCATAGGTAACAATATGAGTAATCAGCTAGACTGTGCAGAGAAAGTAAGGTCTAAGATGAGACAGAAGTAAAATTTGATCTATAGGCTGAAGCTTGGGGTGGGAGTGGGCTAATTGAAAGAAATGGGCAAAATAAACAGCAGATGTGAAGCCCTAATACTGAAGAGGTACATCTTTTCTGAAGTCCAGTACAAAACTAGGCCCCTAGGAAACCCTTAAGAAATGTTTAACTTGTCACAGAACTGTTCTCTGTACGTTAATAGTTCTGTGAATCTCAGCTAGCTTTGGTCTCATCCATTCCCAGAAAGCTGTGTGAAAGGGTAGACCCTGTCAATAAGAATGGGTTTGCTGTTACAGGAATCAGTAACGTTCAAGGATGTGGCTGTACTCTTCAGCCAAGATGAGTGGGGGCACCTGAACCCTGCCCAGAGAGCCTTGTATAGGGACGTGATGCTGGAGAACTACAGCAACTTGGTCTCACTAGGTAAGATGGGGGACCTTTGCAACCTTATCTTCAGATTTAGGGCTATCTTTAGGACCCTTTGAAGTCTCCTAGTATTGAAAATTATTAACGTACTGGTTACTAACTGAAAGCTGCATGTTTACATCCACCTCACAATGTCTTGGGGGAAAAAACCCATTGAATACCCTGTGCTACACATTCTACACTTCTGCACACTTCAGTTACCATGAGTCAAAGTCACTGGTTTTGATTGCTTGGGACCCGTTAACTGATACCATGTAGAAGTTTGGATTGCAAATGAGGAAATTGAACATTCTGTCTTCAAGGCTGCTACTTCCCTATTCTTGATGCCCTAGGCCCAGGACTCTTATAGAGCCAAGTACTCAAGGGTTAAAAACTTCTATCCCTTCGGGCAGGGAAGGCACAAGGGAAAGGATTGTGTCTGGCCCATGCCATCCTTTCTTCCTTCTGCGAACATGGTGCCAAGTCCATTTAGCTGCCCTTTATATCTTCCTTATCCCATTAAATCACCCTTTCCAGGAATTTCTGAGGACCAGGTCTGATCCTTATAATAACTTTATCTGTAGTCTGAACAGACGTGGATAATTTTGTTTCCCTCAAAAACAGGATCTTTAGGACCCAAACCAGATATATTTTCCCAGATGAGAAAAGGGGAAGAAGAATGGATAATGGAGGATGCCTCAGGAGATTCGTATCTTGGTAAGAATCACACTTGTAGAAGGAGTTGGGCGGAACCCAGCTGGTCAGCTCAGTGAATGTGCCAGGCCTGTGCATGGAGAAATGTGCAGCTTTCACTTCTTGTTCAGTTCTATAAATAGTTGCCACATTTGTCACAGTGCTCATTGCAAGATGGTGGCATTTCTTTCTTTGTGGCACTGTGCTCCTTTGGCCTTTTCCTCTGTTTTTTTTCTTTTCTCCCTGTTTTCATAATTTGTTCTACTAAAATTAGTAGCAGAGTAGTTACAAGAAGTACAGAGCTAACATTTTCCCAAATGTTTGATCTGCTGTATAATTGCATGATTTCCGACATAGTAGCTTCTCCTTCATTCAGTTCCCTAACTCCTCTCTGTCCCTTAGGTTCAGTGGTTTGCTGGAAGGTCTCCCAGAGACTCAGACATGTCAGGGGGATGACTCACGTGACTATGGATGATGCAGCCCGGTATTGCAGAACTGGTGATTGTCAGTTGTAGTGCAGATGAAAAATGAGGTTCCCAAAAAGAGAGAGCTAACATTGAGGTCCCATGAGCCTCTTTTAGGGTGGGGTTTGTATATCACCCTAAACTTCTCTCCCTAATACAATAAATACTTAAGCACAAAATAAACAGTTAATCAATGGCCAGGAAAGACATTTTGTGTGATAAACCTTTGACACCACTGGCATCAATTAATAGACTCTTTAGTTTGGAAAAGACCTAAAAGGTAATCTGGCCAGCTTGAGTAATCCTTGAGTGGCCTGCTCAACACTGGACAATGTAGTCTCTGAAAACACTAGTGAGAAGGAACGTGTATTTTACTGACATTTTACATTTCTTTCTTTTTTTTAATTTTATTATTTCTTGTGTGTGTACCGTCAAATCAGATCTGACTGGTACAGGAGGAGATTGCCTCTCCTTTTCCAGCAGAGCATCTGGTGGATTAGAACCATATACCTCTGGGATTGCAGTGCAGCTTCTTGCCACTAGGCCACCAGAGCTCCCTACATTTCTTTTTTGACACCAGTTGTTTTTTTTAAAAAAAACACCAAAAAACAAAAACATCATTTGCTTTAATTTGCCTCTTTGTTGTGACCTCTGTGTAAGCATATTTTTGCTTCTGAAACCACATGTTGGCTACTAGAGTTAAAATCAAGATTTTTGTTTTTTATTTTGTCTTTAATTGTGATTTTAACAAATTTTAATTGTGATTTTTACAGAAAGGTTGGGTTTTCATTCATTCATTCATTGTTGCACACTTTTCTCCCTTTCCCTCCCCCAGTCCATTTTGCAATATACCTCTTGTTCCTGATTGCTGTCATACATATAATGCCTGATCATATATACCTTTTAGACAGTTCTTCCCTTCATCTGTTCCAATGCAGTGTTCATTATCTATCCACTTGTTTCCTATTCTCCCTCCACCCCTATGTAAGTCCTATTTTATACCTGTCATTATGCAGTATTTGTCCTTTTGTGACTGAGATATTTCACTCAGCAGTAAAGTATCTCTTCTTACAGCCACACATGTCATATTTCTCCTACTGCCTTCATGACTGCTCATCCATGCATTTAAACAGTCAACCAGCATTTGATCAATCATCTTTCATCTTTTCCCACATACTACCATGCTGGGTTGTAGGTGCTGTGATGATGGGGACCATAGTTATCCCATGTTGTTGTTGTTGTTTGTTGTGTTGTTGTTATGTGCCATCGAGTTGCTTGCGACTCATAGCGACCCTATGTACAAAAGCTCTAAACGCTTTTCTATCCTGTGCCAACCTAGCCATCTCAAACGCACTTATTCCCACCACTCCAGTCACAGAATGATCCATCTCATCAAAGGTCTTCTTCTCCTTCGCCACCCCTCCACTCTGCCAAACATGATACCCCACTCCAAGGACCAGTCCCTCCTTGTAACATGCCCAAAGTATGTCAGATGAAGCTTCAGAATCCTTGACTCCAAGGAGCCTTCCGGCTTCACCCTCTCTGGGACAAACCTGTTTGTTCTCCTAGCAGTCTATTCAACACTCTTCTCCAGCATCACAGTTCAAAGGCATCAATTCTCTTTCTTTCAACCCTATTCACTGTCCAACTCTCCAAAGCATGGCACGTAATTGCAAAGACTATAGCCCAGATCTTGCGCACCTTAGTCTCCAGTCTGACGTCGTTACTCTTCAGTACTCTTGAGAGGTCCTTGATAGCCAACTTTCCCAAGGCAATTTGTCTCTTGATTTCCTGGCTGCTGTTACTAAAAGTGTTGATTGTGGAGCCAAGTAAACTAAAACTGTTAACTATCTTAATCTCTTCACCATCCATACTGATGCTGCCAATTGGCCTAGTGGTTAGAATCTTTGTTTTCTTGATGTTAAGCTTCAGTCCATATAGGATGCTGCAGTCCTTGACCTTCTGTAGCAAGCACTTCAGGTCCTCCTGAGTTTCAGCAAGCAGGGTTGTGTCATCTGTGTAACACAGATTGTTTGTTGAAAGATTAAATTTATCCCATATGTTGCGGTATCATTCACACCTGACACCATGCTTAGCATAGATCTGTTGACTGAGAACAAAGAGAATATCATAGTTTAATGACTGTTACTTGATTTAATGAGTCAGTTGGTGTCTATGAGCACTTAAGGAGTCATTTGGTGTATTTTCTGCATCAATTTTCTGAAGCTATTCTTGTCCAAGACACTATAACATTTTATTTTGACTAGTGTTTTTTCAGGTTGCACCATATATTTTCAAACCTCTTGTTACAGATTTTTTTCACAGTAATGCAATGAAGTATGCATGAGTATATAGCTGAATATAAATACCTGGAATAACTAAAACTCAATCATTTGCAAAATTTAAGTATCTTAATTCTTAAAGTCAGTTACTAAAAGAATATATTTTTAACTTATGTGCCATCTAGTTGCCTTGGACTCCTAGCAACCTCATGCACAGTAGCTCTGAACCCTGGCCTAACCTGAGCCAATCTCATTTTCTCCGACACACCTACCTCATTACCCTGTCACTGAGTCAATCCATCTCATCCAGGGTCTTCCTCTCCTCCGCTGTTCCTCCACTCTTCCAAGCATGATGTCCTTCTCTAAGGACTGGTCCCTCCTGGCAACATGCCCAAAGTATGTGAGACGGAACTTCAGAATCCTTGCCTTCAAGGAGCAGCTTGGTTTCACCCTCTCCAAGACATACCTTCTTGGAGTCGTATTTATCTTCTTGGCAGGCCATGGTATGTTCAATGCCCCTTTCTAGCACCACAGCTCAAAGGTATCGATTCTTTTTCTATCTTCTTTAGTAATTGTCAAGCCATATTCCTCCTTATAAAGTCCAGCCTCCTGAATGACCTGTTCCGTATATAGATTGAAACTGTATAGAGATAGAAGGCATCCCTGATGTACACTTTTCCTTATTTTGAACCTGTAGTGTTTCCCTGCTCTGTTCTGAGGACTTACTCCTGGTCCAAGTATAGGTTTCATATGAGCACTATTCAGTGTTCTGGGATTCCCCCTCTTCTCTAGTTTAGCCACAATTTCTTATGATTCACACAGTGAAATGCCTTTGGATAGTTAATGAAATACAGATAGACATTCCTCTGATACTCTCTGCTTTCAGCTAAGATCCATCCAACATTGGCTATAGTGTCCCTGGTACCATGGCCTTAATATTTTCTGGTGCCCTAGTGGTAGAGAGTTGTGCTGCCAGCACAAAAGTATGCCTTTATAATCCACCAGCTGCTCTGCAGGAGGAAGATGGGAAGTCTCTTGTGCAACTTACAGTCTCAGAAAACTACTGAGGATCAGCTGTGAGTCAATTCTGACTTGACAGCACAAAGCAAAAACAAATTATAACAAAAATTATAACAAAATTTCAAGTTGGAGCCAACCCTCTAGTGGGTTTTCAGAAGCAGTAAATCGCATGGGAGGAGAGTGCCCATCTTTCTCTCACAGAGCAGCTGGTGGATTCTAACCAAATGTCTTTGGGTTGGCAGTGTAACTCCTTACCATTAGGCCACTAGTATTTCATTCTGTGTCCTGTAGTCTTAAGAAAAAAGTGGAGGAGAGATTAAACAAAAAGACCTCACTCTGCCTTTTTAATTATTTTTATCTGACTCATTAATTCAGTCATTTATTCATTATTAAGACTATTGATATCACATCCATGCAAGAACCAGCCGAAGATTATAAAAAAAAAAACAACTGGAACAGTACATCAACAGAGAACTGCCAGAGGTGCAAGCTGGGCTTAGAAGAGTCCATGGCACTAGGGATATTATAGCCAATGTCAGATGGATCTTAGCTGAAAGTAGAGAGCACCAAAAGAATGTCTATCTGTGTTTCATTAACTATCCAGAAGCAGTTGACTGTGTGAATCACAATAAATTTGTGGCTGAACTAGAGAAGAAGGGGAGTCCCAGAACACTTAACTGTGCTCATATGAAACCAGTACTTGGACCAGGAGGCAGTCATCAGAACAGAGTAGGGAAACACTGCATAGTTCAAAATAAGGAATAGTGTGTATCAGGGATGCCTTCTATCTCCATACCTTTTCAATCTATATGCAGAACAGTAAGGAGGAATGTGGCATCAAGATTGAAGGAGGACTCATCAACAATCTTCATTATGCAGTTGACACAATTTTGCTTGTTGAAACTGAGGGAGACCTCAGGCATTTGCTGTAGATGATCAAGGACTGTGGTCTTTAAGGGATTGAGCTCAACATCAAGAAAACGAAGATTCTCACCACTGGGCCCAATTGGCTGCTTCATGACAAATGGAGAAGAGATTGCGATTGTTAACAACTTCTGCTTTCTTGGTTCCACAGTCAACACTCTTGGCTTCAGCCAGGAAATCAAATGATGAACTGCATTGGGGAAAATCTGCTGTCAGGGACCTTTCAAGAATACTGAAGAGCAACCATATCAGTCTGGAGAGTAAGGTGTGTGTGATACAGGAATAGTTTTCACAATTACTTGTTGTGCATCAGAGAGCTTGACAATGACTAGGG